TTAATATCAAGGAATATATATACGTGACAATGAATTTGAAATCATTTATTTAATTTTCAATTAACTAAAACTAAATGCTAATTAGCACGTATGAACGTGAATAATAAAATGCATTCTTGAATATAAAATTATAATTGACATATAATGAGATTTAATAACACTGAAATGTATAAATGAATATGTATATCGATTAAATAAATGTGAATGTTAACTGATTGAGAATTAACAATAGGGAAATCGTACATTAATGAGAGTACGCAAGTGAAATGAATTTATCAAATGTACATGTACATTGATGGTAATTAAATGATATATAAATTAATTATATATTGAAAAATGAAAAGTAAGGTATTGCTGAAATAATTAAGTTATAGTAAGACTGAAATAGTTAAAAAATGATTCTCAATTGATGTGATCTTTAATATATTATAGATAAATTATCTGTGCTGACTATCATTAATAAAAAATTGCATTATCTTAAATAGCACGAGACATCAAAATCGACTTATTGATGCAACAAATGTGCGATCAAAACAAACATGTAGTTCATTTCATCATATTCCGTGCTAATGGATGTCAATGATATATCGAGAATCGATCATTCAATCAATCATCGTTGTTTTAATTAAAAAATGGCTCATTTAACATGATTTTTGAAAAGTTGAAAGGAGTTTTTGAGATACAAAAATTATTTTTGAATCCATTCAACTAATTTTAAGAAAGTGTTTATTCTTATTAGAAGAGATTTTAACAGAAACCGATTCAATGAGATATCCTCTAAAAATCACTTTTCGAATAGAAATTTCCTTTAAAATTTTGTTTTCAAATAAAATTATGGTATCCTCTTCCAAAAATTATTCCACGAGAAGCAAAAGAAAAAACAAAAGCCATGTCAAACGACCATTAACGGATTTTTGAACGAATCTCTAAACCAACCAAATCGACGGGTTTTTGGCCGTTTCTTATATTGTTTTCTAATTTTATCTTATATAAAATAATTATTTACAACAAATATTTTCTTCAAAACTAACTCATAAATAAAAATATATTAATTAAAAATTATGTATAAGCAAAAAAATAAAAATAAAAATTACATTATAATTAAAAAAAAATACTTATAAGATAAGAAAAAATTACTTATAAGTAAAAATCAATTTTATGTAAAATAAAATTTATTTATATAATAAAAATACTATTAGCCCTTGTTTGGGCTCCTTTTTCAAAAAAGAATGTATTTTGGAATAGCAAAAAATTAGAGAATGTGTGATTAAAAAATAAGTAAAAATTTAGATTTACACGTAGAATAATTTCATAGGAGAATGTGCGATTGAAAATAAGCTTTGATAAAATGAGTTTTTATAAAAATGTATCCCAAACACAGGGTTAATAAGATATAAATCTACTTATAAAATATAAAAAATTTACTTATAAGTAAAAAATATTAACTTAAAATTTTAAGTAAATGTTTAACTTTATTTAATTTTTTAAGTTAAATATGAACTTATATATGTAAAAAATTACATACAAATAAAATATCACTCGCGAGTAAAAAAATTTCATATAAAAAACTATAACTCGAAATTTTATTAAGAGATATATACGTAATTTTTATTTTTTAAAAAAAAATTCAGAATCAATGGTCGATTAGGTAGGGCAACAGAACGGGTGTGGGAGGGGTAAGTGATTCCACCCTAGTCCTGTCGGGTACTTGTCACCTTGTCCCGTCTCCATACTGGATTATGATAGTCCAAAATTTTGATTCAATCAATCAAAGTGTATCAATGAGAAGATGAAGAAGAAATAAATGCAATGTATGTTCAAAACAATTTCTTAAGATATATCTCTCTTTAATAAATAATTGTGATAAACTAAGTACTAAGAGAAAAATGAGAAGCTTTAATGAATGTGATGATTTTACAAGTTTGATTCAATTAATCAAAGTTTTCAATATAAAGAAGTAGAAAAAGTTTATACAATGTAAGTACAAAAATCTCCTTTAAAAAAATGTATTTCTCTTTTAAGACTGATACAAATAATTTAAGCACAAAGAGAAATGAAAAACTTTGATGATAGAAATAATACAAAAAGTTTGATTCAATAATCAAA